CTCTCCCATCTCTCCCTCCTGCATCTCTCCCTCCCCTTCCCTCTCCCTCCTGCGCCTCTCCCTCCCCTTCCCTCCCTTCCCCCTCCCACCTCTCCCCCTCCCCTCCCTCTCTACCTTGCCTACCTCCCCTTCATCCCTGCCTGCCTCTCTCTCCCCAGCTGTCACTCCCTATTCTCTTGCTTGCTCCCCCCTCTTCCTCTCCTGCCCCTCCTACTTCCCCAGCTCCATCTAAGCCCTCAGAAGGCCTTGGGGCTTTAACTGCTCACCACTTGCCTTTGGCTTCCTGTGGGAGCTGCCGGCAGCAGGGCTGTGTGAGGCCCACCGCCCTGTCCACAGTCGGTGGACCCTAAGGTCAGCCACACCTGTGGGGTGGTTCATGCATCGCCCGGCTGAGGCCAAGCATTCTGACCCGAGGCCCAGGTTGTGCCTGGAGCCTGTGAACCCCAAGATCACATCGTGAGGGCCCTGTCCATCTGCTGGGTGGGGTTGCAGGTGGGTCAGAGCACTGGCCGCCCCTCCTTGGCTCCTCCTCCTCCTCTGGCATTTCCTCTGGTCTCTCTCCACCCTTCCCAGCCCTCTCCTCATCACACTTTCTCTGCCCCTCAGTCCTCTACGGGCCCTTTCATCTGCCCTCGCCTTCCCTCCCTCCCTGGTCTCTCCTCTCCACCTGCCCCTTCTCCTGCCTCTGCCCTGCTCTCCCTCCTGGCTCCCTGCCCTGCTGCTCTCCCTCAGCCTGACCCTCTCTGCTCCTCAGGTCCTGCAGACATGCCTGTCCAGCGCCTCTTCCCCTGGCCCTCACTGTTCCTTCCTCTTCCTGCCCTTCTCCCCCCTGACCCTCCTTCTCCTCTGCCTCCTCAGAACCAGTGGCGGGGGACAGCTGGGCTCCAGACCTCGGGCTCCAGACCTGGCCAGCAAACCCTGCCCAGCAGCAGGTTTGGGAGGAGCAGGACCACAAATCTGCACACCGCCTCCCAGCTGGCCTCAGAGCCTGGCAGTTTGTTAAAAGACATTGGTCAGTGTCTGGGCTGGGTCTCTGCGCCTGGCCTGCTGTGTACACAGGAGAGGGCAGTCTCCGCCCTGCCTCAGACTCACTGAAGAACGAGTGCACCACACGGAGCCCGGAGAAATGCCCGGGAGTGGATAGCCCGCATTTGTGGCAGTTGCCATGGATGCTGTGGTTTTGTTACGTGATCTTACTGTTGTGACCCTCCACAGCACACGTGGCCACTGCGGGCCACTGGTTCTTCATCTCTCCTTAGAGTCCACCCAAAGGCAGAAACCTTCTCCCTGAAATGTCCTAGGCCTCGGTTTTGTGTATGAGTTCAGGGTGGTCAGTCCTTGAAGCAGTCCCCGGAGCCCTGGGGAAACGCCTGTACGTGTTTGAAACCGTGTCCTAGGGCAAGTGCTGAAGCCATCACGCTCCTTCCCTGGTGACCGACAGGCCCAAGGAAGCAGTCGGTTAGAATGCCCAGTGGGATCCGCTGCCAAAGACCCCAGGCTGGGGACTCATGGACACGGGGGCATGTGATAAAGGGTGCTGCTGGAGTGTGGTCAGGAGACAGGTCCTGCCCGCCCTGGCCTCCCCGTCTCCGAGCGCAACACCAGCCGTGCTCCTCGGTCACACCTCCTTAGGAAATCTCCAGTGGGCCCCTGGCCTCAGAACAAAGGGAGCCCTCAACACCCTCGGGTGGCCCCTCGGAACCTGGTACCCCTTTCTGACATCCCAGCTGCCCGACTCACTCCTCGGCTCTCAGAGCACGGTGCCGAGCGTTCACCACTGATGCACATTTATTGAGCACCTGCAGGCAAGATGGGAACTGAGCTGGGCCCGGGTCACCAGAGGCTGAGGGTCCCGCCTCCCCTCAGGGCTCACCAGAGGCTGAGGGTCCTGCCTCCTCTCAGGGCTCACCAGGGGCTGAGGGTCCTGCCTCCTCTCCAGGGACATCAACAGGAGTCCGGGAGACAGACCAACAAGCCAGCTCAGAGTCAAATAGCCCCAGGTCTGCAGAGTGACTGTTTGTGAAGGAGCCGTGAGTGACGCAGAGTCGCCCACCGTGAGCAGGTGAGGAGAGCTGGGGAGAGGGCACTGCAGGCAGCAGGGTGGCAAGGCCAAGGCACGGGGCAGGATCCAGCCTGGTTGGTCAGGGAGGCCAGTGGCTGGGCACGGTGGGTGAAGGAAAGGAGGTGTGGGTGAGGAGGAGGGACCAGAGGGGCCAGGCCAGGCAGGGACTGGGAGGCCACGGGGAGGCCCAGGCAGGGATGGGGTGGCTTTGGAAAGTGGCGGTCAGAGGCAGCACATTCTGGCTCACAGACCTGGCAGTCTGGAGACGCATATGCTACGGGCACAGCTGTGTGGACGATTCTGGGAATTCACGAACCTGCGGTAAGTCCCTTGTCTACAAAACACTGGCCCAGAGGAAGGGACCCTGGTGTGGGGCTTACTCCTTTCTGCAGAGCCTGTGGGACCCACAAGCAGCATGTTCAGTAGGCAGCTGGACACATGGGTCTGGAGCTCGGGCACTCACCACTGAAGTCCCAGCAGGGAGGTCAAGCTGCAGAGCTGGCCAAGGAAGCAGCCAGTGCCCATGGGCCATGAAGGCCTTGGAGAAGGGGAACATGGTCCCCAGAAAAACTGCCCCCAGACGGCTTTTCACCGCGAGATCCCTGGATCTCAGCTCATCTTACTGCCCCCGCCCGGGGTCTTCCCAGAGGTCAGACTCACCTACTCACAGAAACGCCTCCTTAGAGGGCTGGGCAGCCTCGGGCTTCAGAGTCTCATCTGAAGCAGAGGATGCTTCCCAAGCGCGGGGCGGGCAGTGTGTCAGAGGCCGGGTGATGGAGCATGATCCCAGCTGGCCTCAACAGACCAGTTAAAGACCTCAACCTGGTTCCTGGGAGAAGCTGGCCACACAGGGACTGGAGGAGCAGTCACCAGACTCCCCATCCCTCGCACCCACAGAGAGCCTAATTAGCCATCGCTAATGAGGCTCAGGTGGCCCCTGAACTGTCCGCAGGCCCCTGGGGCCGGCTCCCAAGGCCACGGGGAGGAAAGCCCACGGGCTTGGGTTCACCTGCTGCTGTTCCCCACACCCTTCCTCCCCTTCTCCTCCCCTGGGTCTCTCCAAACACCTCTCTGACCACTCCTCGGGAGTCCTCTGCCCTCTCCTTGCCCACTCTCATTCCCCTTCGCTTTTGTCTGTGCCTCCACCGGTACCCAACCTTTCTCTGCTGCGGTCTTTCCAAGTACCCCTGCTTGTCCTCCTGCCACTCATCACTGTCCTCCCCTGGCTTCCTGTGTCTCTGACTCACACGGCCAGTCCCCCCTCCTCCCTGGGCTCCTTCCTGCTTGGCTTCCTCTGCCTCTTCTTCCTCAGGGGCCCTCCTCTCTGAGTATGCTGCTCTCCCTCTCTGCAGTGTCTCCTCCCGATCGCTCCTCCTCTTCTCCCTC